TTGCACCAACATCGAAGAATCAACACTGAGAGAGAGAGTGAGAGTGAGAGAGAGAGAGAGAGAGAGAGAGAGAGAGAGAGAGAGAGAGAGAGAGAGAGAGAGAGAGAGAAGAAGAAGGGCAGGAAGACAGGGGGAGAGAAAATAAGCACTGAGGTTATGTCATTACCTCGTTCGAACGCACTTGTTTCCTGTGAAGGGCCTGCATTGAATTTCATACATATGTAACAGACCCTGAACCTCTTCAATGCAGGAATAAGAACTTTCGGGCAGTGAACCCTTTAAATGGTCATAAATCTGGAATGGGAAGGAAGAGTCTTATTCGTGTACATCTCTTTGCAGTCTCGCTTGAAGAAGTCGTACACGTCTCTGCGCCGGAGAGTATCTGAAAGATGAAACCGGTCGCTATTTGGCATACTCTCTGTATTGTATCGGAAATATTCATCCAACGAGGCGAGAATTTGCTGTGATGAAGCAGATAATCCGACTGATCCTTTGTTTGCATGCTCGTACAACACCATTCCTTCTCTAAATTTTTTGCGTATCTTTGCAACACGTGTAGTCGAGCATCCGTACAGTTTTCCCTACGCTTTTGTGCAAACCTTTACGCCGTTGAATGTCACCCTTAACACCTCTAAATCTCCCTCATCCGAAAAGTACGACGCAACCCTCATCTCTGCGAGAAAGAAGTTCAGTTGCTCAGGTTGTTTCATCGCCCAAAATTCTTCGCGCTTGTAGAAAACATCTACCGCCGTGAACTTCTTGTAACAGTTGGCCTTGCAACAATCTTCCTTCAGAACTAGTTCGACATTCTTTATGTTCACGTGGTAGTTAGCTTTCTTGTTGTACACACATGCGTTCCTGCCTCGCTTTCCCAAGTTGTAAGGAGGTTTTTCACTCTTGCTTGATTTGCTGTACAGTCCTCTTCTCACCTCCTGTGCTATTATCTGCTTCGCTTTTCACAAAAGTTCTCCAGATAGACTCTTCTTGAACATGTCGACATCAATTCCCAACTCGTTCTTCCCTTCATCATCCTCAGAGTCTGTGTCTTCTGAATCGGCATCCTCGTTCGTTTCCTCCTCATCATCATCGTCATCGCTCGATTCGCCCTCCTCCTCATCGTCGTCACTGGGTTCCTCTTCCTCAGTGTCGTTGTCACGCAATTCTTGCACCACGCTATCGTAGAGCGTTTCTTTCACAACAAAGTTCTCGCTCATGTCCTGTACATCTTCTCTCTCTCTGGATTGTTTGCCTTCAACGTTCGGGCATTGCCGCTTCCCTGGGCGCTCTATCTGGATTGTACTCCCCGTTTTGCCAGTCGTGCAGAGACCCATCACTGTGTTTGCTGCTCGGCATGGCGCAATAACCTTTCTTGTCATCGTGTTCGATTGCGAACGCTTCGGAAACAAACAGACATTGGTGGTCCTCTCATGAGTTGCACTGAGCTTCGGTAGAGGGTTCTGCTTCTCGCCTCCGCGTGTACAACATTGACGCAGGTCTGAAAACTACCTGCTATTCTTCATCTTGACACTCTTGGCATCAACACTCTTCTTACATTGAGAAAGGTCCGGAAACCATCTCACAGGGTTAATCTTGTGAGTACTCTGAGTACATCTTTCGGTTCAAGAATCCATGGCAGGAACATATAATACGACAACCTATCTGGAATCTAAAAATGACGATGGCGTCACCTACAAAAGAGAAAACTCGGTGTTAGCGCGAGAAAGTGTGTCGGAGGACGGCCGGAAGAGCGTCGCTAACAGGCGTAGACTTCTTGGACATGGAAGATATGATACGACAACCTATCTGGCATCTAGAAATGACGATGGCGTTACCTACAAAAGAGAAGACTTGGTGTTAGTGAGAGAAAGTGTGTCAGAGGACGGGCGGAGCGTCGCTAACGGGCGTAGACTTCTTGGACACGAAATCGAAATAAAATGAGAACACCCGCTACTGCGACCCACGTCAAGAACATCATTCGCAATTTTGGATTTTCCGCCAACAGATTTTGGAGCAGTACAAATTTTGAGCCGGTAGCGACTGGGATCCCCGTAAAGAATGTCTTTAAAAGTTATCAATTTTCCGCCAAGGTTTTTGCAAAAGTGTAATTTTCGGACCGTTAGGGACAAGAATTCGGAGAACCCAGGCTCCCGCCAAAACAAATAATTTCGACCGCCCAGCCACTGGGATCGTCGTCAAGAACATCGTTAAAATTTAGATTTCCCGCCAACGGTCGTCTCGAAAATTGAAATTTTAGAGAGCTAGTGACCAAATTTCGGAAAGCCACGACCCGCGCCCAATTACTGGAATCCCCGCAAAGAATATCTTTAAAACTTGTCAATTTTCCGCCAAGGTTTTTGCAAACGTGTAATTTTCGGACCGTTATCGAAAGGAATTCGGAGAGCCCGGACTCCCGCCAAAACAAATAATTCCGACCGTCCAGCCACTGGGATCGTCGTCAAGAACATCGTTAAAATTTAGATTTTCCGACAACGGTCATCTCGAAAATTGAAATTTTAGAGAGCTGGCGATCAAATTTCGGAGAGCCACGACCCGGTAAAACAAACAATATTGAACGCCAAGCGCCCGCTTACGGGTTGAATACGGAATGTCACTTCTTGGAGACCAAACCAGCAAAATTTGGACGACCCCGCTACAAGATTTCTGAATTGTGAGAAAGACTCCGCAAGGGCGGGAGCGGCAAAAAAAAAAATCAAAGAGGACGAGCATCGTTGAACGTCGTCGTAGCTCCGAGAGCAAACATACAGATACAAACAGAGAGAGAGAGAGAGCAGCGTCGAGCAGCGTCATAGTTGCTTAATGACCGTGGTTCCAGTGTAGATCGTCAGGAGTATCGAATAAATAAATTTACAAACATGGAGATAGATAGATAGATAGATAGATAGATAGATAGATAGATAGAGAGAGAGAGAGAGAGAGAGAGAGAGAGAGAGAGAGAGAGAGAGAGAGA